ACAGTACTGCGATGTTAGTGTTTCTTGTACTTGAAGGCACGGTACAGTAGATTCTTGGCTTGTAATACCGAGTAGAAACTGATATTGTGAAAATCTAAGTAAGTTTAAGTAACAATATTGCATCAAATTTTATTGATTTTTCACCTCACGTATATACACACAAGAGGCAATAATGTTCCTGCTCATAAATAAAATAACAATTGAAGATGTTAGAACACTTTTTCTATTATGACGTTGTAAAGCAACAAAGGCATACATCGTCCAACACCAACAGGCAATTATTTGCTCATAAAACCTATACCGAGTAGTTATTAGTAAATAAAAAAAAATAATTTTTGTTTCATAATTTCTTTCTCATCTTTAGGACTAGCTCAAATCAAGTTTATGTAACAACAATATAATAAGAACTAGCTTCTGTACCTGTGCTTCGCAACGGGAAGATGTAATATTCAGCCTAATCCAAACACTTGTTAAGTAGTTCGGATTTATAAACAAAAAGCCACAAAATTTATAAAAAAGTATGACCTACATTGAATTGTCTTACTCTTAACATTAAAATGTATCAATAACATAATTGTCATAACTTACGGTTATAGAATATTTCTTTAATTCCATAATCAATGACAAAGTTGAAATATGCATACTTAGTAAATGTGTTTTTTTTTTTTAAGTTGTCATCGAATATAGAGACTGAGCTAGAACTCGGTTAGGACCAGCTAAAGCCAATAATTAAATAGAAACAAATTTGAATAAACCGTGAGCTGTTCTATTTGTCAATAGTGCCATTGTATTCTGTTTAACATTTCGTTCTCGTGAGCCATCAACAACAAAATTTGGCCATGTATGTACACAAAACATGTTATTTAAAATAAATAGTTTTTTTTTTCAAATAACAATAATCTATAATATTAAAACGAAACAGTGTTTTTTTTATTTCACGATTCTGAATCAACCACTCGACGGATTTTCATGATTTTTGAGTTGAAAGAAAGATAATTTTGAGAACTAGGGAATGTCGAAGCCATAATTTTAGTTTCGAGTCCCAGTTTTTTTTTTATTAAGTTTTAATTTTTTTAAAGTCTAGCAGCCGACGCTAAGATTCTAAACTAGCTTTTGGCATAAAATAATTTGCTTAACATAACAGCTGTAAACATTCAGCTTTTGTGTCACAAATTCAGCATTTGGATAAAAATGTAAAGACATACATAGGGTTGACGTATTTATACTATGTGTAATGCTAATCATTGATTCGTTCAATTCTTCTGTAAGAGGATGATAGATTAATTCAATATGCATAGTAAAATACTATACCCGGTTCAAACAGCCGTGGCACCTGAGGGATTAGGAGACTCCAAGGGTTTCCATGGGGTCTCCTAATCCGTCAGGTGCCACGGCTGTTTGAACCGGGTATAGGATGTTCAAATTATTTTTTAAAGCAATCTTTGTAATCTTCGATTTGTTTTAGAGCAATATAATTTGTTTTAATTAGCAGCTGGTTATTAAAAAAATGCCCTACAAAACTATGAGGTTGTTTACTCTGATTTTGTCATTGATTATAGGAAATAAGTAAGATTAGTAGACCACCGAGATAAGTAACACCATCGATGTGTACAAGTTGAGGCTCTGTGCACGAGTTAAATAAAAAAGATATTCAAATTATTTTACTGCTCAACTTTTTTGGAAAGGGTAGGAAAATCACAATTTTTACATGTTTTAATTCATCTTGGCAGCTTTTTGTTTACAATCAATGTTTTTGAATGCTTGAACTTTGTTTGGATTAGGTCCTGAAAAACGATTTTAAATTACCACCACAACCTCAGACGGGTGTTATCCAAAGATATACAGATGAATGACATAGATTGAAAACAACGTCATCATTGACCTAGGATACTGCACTTAGACTAACCATCCTTTTATGAAATCTAAAAAAGGTTGTTTGGCGTGTGTTTAGTTGTGGTTACGGTTGGAGGCGCTGAATATTTTATAGTATAAATAAATGAATATGGGGAATTACGATGTACATTGATTCAATGAGGGTGGTTTAATTATCAAGGATATTGGAACTGATAACAGAATGGAGAAACGTTATCTTTATATGTGTAAACTAGCTGATCTGAATTGTACACGGTTTTAACTGACTACTGAATTCCCGTACGTAGGACGGGCTAACACCTCGTAGTATTTTTAATAATGTGAAAGGGCAGGTGTTCTAAGGAATATTATTAAGGAATAGGTATGTTCACGAATAAATTAATAACATTTTCTAAATATTAAAAATAAGAAACACAAAACAGCCGCTGAAGGGAGAAAATGAACAAGAAAACAAAACATTACATGCAATAGTTAGTGTCGTGAAACGCCGAATATAATCAAACATGGGAATATCAACATTCCATAGAGAATTCCAAACAGGTGTACAGTAAAATACCTTAGATTAATTCTAAAGACATTTTTAGCGAAACCTCTTTAAGATAGGTTAGCAAATTGCATTAAACTACGACAATCATTATCATGATAATGACGAAGGTAATCGACCAGGTGTTGAACTATGTACACCTGCTACTATCAGCTGGTCTGAGTTTCCCTTATGTAAAACACTCGTGATTGATTTAATAATGACATTATTATCCAGCAAGGTCGGATATTGGTCTATTAGTCCTTGGAAAGAATGCAAACTACATTCTACTCTATTTTTTATAAAACGCAGTCATTGGTCTGCATATTGTGATGCAAATATTTTAAGATTTCACAAATATGTTTAGTTTTATGATTATCGAAAAAGAAGAAAAATATAGTTTATTGCTACGTTTCTACAACCTAGTGAAATCGCAGTCAATTGCCTTTAAGTTATACTTATGGAGAATAATTTTGTGATTGCTTATGATTGAACCTTCATAGCCTAAATAAATTAATATAAATATAATTTTAAAATTGCTTGGCAGCAGTATATACCCCTAACTACAGCCCTTGTCATATGTTTTAAGGTGTGGTAAACTCACATTATCCAGCATAATAGTGCGGTAATATTCAATCACAATTATTTAAATCAAAAGTAAATTTATATTTGCTTGTACTTCAAAATTAATAATATGCGGTTCGTTTTATAACACGGTGTGTTGCCACTACATTATTTTTTATATGATTTTTAAATAATATTTTACATGATAAACAATTTATTGACCGCTATTAAGATTATCTATTTAGTAATAAAAAAGGAGTTTTATGTAGTTCAAGATTCTGCTTACTGAGTTTTGATCCATGTACTAAATACGAAATAAAATCATAATTCCACAACAGAAATAAATATTTATGACTTCTGGATTTATCGTATAAACCACGAAAAAAATTAATATCTTCTTAAGACAGCTACGGTAAAGTAAACAAACAATATTCATCACGCTAGTACGACAAAAAGATCTCGTGTCTGAACATTTGAAATGTTTGTTATTTGATAATGGTCAACTATTTTAATGTTCAGTTAAAACAACAAAAGTTCCAATGTCGTTGTTTACAATTAATTAATACCGTTTACATATCAGAAAAACAAGCGTTTTCATTAATAATGTATATTTGTACGATGTATTATAAATATATATAGTAGAAATCAAGTGGTTGGCCATGGAAACCAAATTAAACAAGCATAAAGTAAAGTATGTCTATTGAATAATTTAAAACAACTGAAAAAATGTAATGCAGTCACTATCTGCCAAAGGAGGCAATAAGGATATTATTAATTTGCAGACTAGACTGCTCGATACTACCGTATATGGTGTTATTTTTACAACTTTAGTTCAAATTAGTTTGGAAATGCTTTACAATCCAACCTTCATAGCCAACATTATTATTAACATACTTATCTTTACTTTACCCTATTAAGTCTGCAGAAATAGAATTTTCATGTTCTGACAAATCACTGAATTGGAATTAATTTAACCTTTTTTTCTTCAGTTTGCAGCATTGCCCATTGTATTAAAATTAATTTGTTTTGAAGACAATATATTATTTCAACGATAGCCGTTTGTTATACTGGATAATTTTATTTTCATAATTCCAAACAAAAGCTATATAACCTACAAAAAGTAACACAACAAAAAATTAAAATCGTACATATTTAGACACAATACTTTCGCTTAGTTTTTGGCTATTTTCTAATTATTAAATTTCAAATTAAGTTTACGTACTACTAGCGGCCAGCGTCACTTCGTGACTTCAAACTCCGTGATATATTTGAATTATTTGACAATTTTCTATTGCGAATCTTATAAATAAATACACAAAATCTATCGTGTGTGATTTTCTTCTTTACATTTTATACAAATAACATTACAATATTTTTTTGAATTTACTAAAAAATCATCAACTGTAACGATAACCCCATTTTCGTATGGATTTAAACAACATTATATCACGGCCATCTATTTTGATGTAAACAAATGTAAAGTTGAAAAAGTTCAGATGATTGACAACAGAAAGGACGAAGGACTTTCACGGGATATCATCCAAACCAGCAAAAGACACATCTATAGTAAAGAGCCTTAAATTGGTAGGTACCCGATATGCACATACAAATAAATACTCAAGAGTTGATTTGCTGAATAACATAATACAACAAATCCTTTTAACAATATATTTATAGATAAAATCAATGTGTTTCATTTATATTTTTGTTTCTTAATGTATAATTAAAATATTGTTTTCTCAGCACCAACAAATCGTCGTGAATGTTATATTCTTTTAGTCGCACCCCGGCAGACAGCTGAAATCAGCAATAATTAATTGCTGTAGTGCGTATGCACGATAGCTGCTGGCTGGGAAGTCAAAGTGCGCAGCTCACTTTAAAAAAGTAGCAAAGGTTAACGTAGAACAAACTAAAAGAACATAACTAAACATTTCGCTTTCATTTAAAGTTAATTTTAGTATTTAGGAAAATAAATATTGCAAATCAATGATGCAACAAGAAAATGTATATTCTAATATACAAAAAATGTATGTCACAAGTATTTATTGAAATTTTTATGGTGTGATATAAGACGCTTGTGGATTATACTGTATAACACCATTGACCCATGAGCAAATATGACAAATAATTAATACAAAGTCATAAGTGCAGTTTCACCCCCCATACGCTTTGGCTTTCCACAGCGCAGCATCTGCCCTCGCCCTAGCCAGTGCCTGTAGATGCGCCGCTCGTGCCGCCGCCGTCGCTGGGGTGTCTGCTAGGTAGCCAGAGGGCAGTAGTGTAGGGCTAGCCAGTGGCCCGTAGTAAGGTCTGTTAGGGGGACCATACAATCCACCGTTGAGATAATTATTGTTATAGTTGTAAGCGTAGTCTCCGTACTTGTACGGGTTGTAAGTACCATCGTCCTTCAGACCGTACCACAAGGCCTTCGCCCTCTCCAGTACTCCTAGATGGGCGGCGCGGGCGGCTGCTACTGCTGCAGTGTCGGCGATGTGGCCGTCTGGTAGTACAGTGGGTATGTAGGTGGGGCCGTAGTACCGGCTGACGTAGTCTGTAGAGATAGGTGGGTAGCCTGCCGCATACAGCCCTGGGTACAGACCAGACAACACGGCAGGGTTCAGTGCAGAGGTCAGCACTGAGTTGTACGATGCGAGTGCAGGGGTAGAAGTAGCCACAAGGGTTTTAGAAGTTTCTCCGCCAGATTTGGCTGATCCTGATGAGGAACCTTCTTTCAAGGCTACTTTATCTCCTGGAGTCTCCTTCGGGTAGCCATCACACAGAACTTCTCCTTGTAGCAGGAAGGCTCCGAGAGCGATTATCTGAAATCAAGATTGATATATTAATAGCTATTTTATCCTCGTATGAATATCAAACTACTAGTTTTATGTAAGATGATTTGACTACGTATCGATCAATAATATTTCACTTATTTTCCAAGAAACCTTGAAATAAGCTTTAGTGATTTTAAAGCTTTTGACAATATTGGAATACATGCAATAGAGTGATTAACATTTTAAAGGTCATTGAGTATTTATACAACCAAACTTACAGTAAACATGGTCCAAAGATTTTTATATTCTGAGTCTAACAAAGTTAAGGCCATCAATTATTATTTGCTTTTATATAGGTAGTGATAAATAAATAATATTTCTTAAACCGTTATATACATTCTCTATGCAATCGCCACTAAACAATATCATTTAAATATGAAGCTGTACGCTTAGCAGGAACAGGATTTATTGAATTATGTAAGCTATCTTGGAACTGTAACTTTGTATGATAAGTATTCTTTTGGACGCTTGTATATTTTGTCTTTATACAATCAGAAAAGTCTCAAAATATCTTTTGTGTACAAAAACCTGACCCCTCGTTATAAAAAATTTCAGTATTAACGTTTAATAAGAATCATATGGCTATACGACTATAAGAACTCGACAAGGCAAATATAAATAGTGGTAATTATAGAGGGAATTCCTTCTGTATTAAACTTGATTAATACAGAAGGGGTTCTCTCTATATTTACTACTTTACTTAGGAAAATATACCCGTAAACTTTAATTTTAAAATGTTGTTAATGGTTAGGTGTTATAGTCAAAGCTAATCCTAGTTTTGTCTACTTCAGTTGTGTTATGGTTGATGTTAATTTACTTTTTTTACTAAGCTTTCATCATTTACAAGGTATTTGTATTTTCGGGAACTTGAGTTTTTAGGAAACATTTAGATCAAGGGGGACAGGTCTTGTTACGCTTTAATTGCTTAAGTCCATAGTCACAGAATTAATATATAAATAATACAGAAATATATTCAAATTCAGTTTAGAACGTTCTACAACCAGGCCACTAAAGTTAGAAGTAACAAAAATATATTTAAGTACGAAAAATATCTTCATATTCTGGTCATTTATGACGAATAAAAAACAACTAAAAAAGAAAGCTTACAACGTTCAGTGATGATGACATTACTAATGACAATGACCGTAGTAGTGATCATAGTAGGCCTACTGTCACCAAGCTTGTTCCATGATAGACATTACAATACGTTTTAACATTCTTCTGATAATTGTACAGGGTGATCTACCTAGAGGCTTGGAGGCTTTTTTGTATTACTAGTCCATCCATCTGCATACACCTGAGGTAGGGTTAGAAAGTACGCGTATTTTGTAAAAATATCAGCTTCATAACAATAATTGTCAAATTAAAATAGTGATTTATTGAGATGTTTAGCAATTTTCTTCTTATGCAAATTACTTTCTTAAGATTATTACCTGAATAAAAGTCTGCGATGCGTTTTTATGTATCTATGGACTTTATCTTAACAAAATATAACCGGTTTTCCATGAGCAATTAGTTTAATTTTGTTTAGTTTATACAAATTATACAAAACTATTAACAATCTTACTAATATTATAAATCTGAAAGTTTGTGAGTTTGTGTGTATGTTTGTGTGTATGTTTGTGTGTGTGTTTGTGTGTGTGTTGCTCAATCACGCATAAACTACTGGACGGATTGGGCTGAAATTTGGCATGCTGAAAGCTCACATTCCCGATTAACATTAAAGCATATTCTTATCTCAAAAACCCTTTCGGGCTCCGCCCCAGTGGCTCTGTAGTTCCCCATGTTAATCTTATGAGTTTTCATATTTAAAAGGAATTAATGAATAACAGCTGTCTCAATTAAACAAGTTGGTTCTGTTCTATGATGTTCAACAGCATAAAAGTTACAAGGATTACCAACAGGGTGCAGCACTATTAATTTCTTTTTTTATTTATGACAACAGCTAATTTCCAACCAAAAGGTGAGTGAGCGTAGCGAACGAACTTCAACCTTGAGGCGAGTTAGCGTAGCGAACGAGCTAACCTGAAGGCAAGTGAGCGCAGCGAACGAGCTCCAACCTAAAGGTGAGTGAGCGTAGTGAACGAACTTCAACCAGGACGTAAATGAGCCATGCGAATACTTATGAAGTTAAACGGGGCGAAGCCCGCGGGTACAGCTAGTAGTTAAATATACACAACTAATTATAAGCGAATTTTAAAACAAGTCATAATAAATAATAAACTCTTATTCAAGAAAATTTGAAGTCCCTTTAATTCTTATGTTTTATATTACAGAGGTCAACTACAGTATAACAAAACATACCAAAAACTCGTACGCCATTTCGTCAGCTTCTGCCGCTAGTGGAGTAGGTCCGTCGTTATCACTCAAAACTGATTAGCCGACTGGTCTTTTATACATTAATATAGAGATTGAGACGTAAGATATTTCGAGATAGCAGTGGTTATCAACATTAATTGTTACCTATTATTGCTACAGTGCGAGAGCTTTTCGGGTCAAAGATCAAAGGAGGATGTTACTTGCTCGTGGGAAAGGATTGAACAATATCCTTTACGCCTTCCCCAGTAACAAAGATGTAATTAACTCAATTACTTATTTGTGAGCGCATAGCAATGAAAGAAATTACATAGCAACATTTAAATGCACATAAACAGGATTATATACCAGCTTATGTAGAGTTTTTTTATTCAGCTAGACATACTAGTAGTTTAGTAAACGTTTGAATAAAAACCCTCAGTACAATAATTAGTTGTTTTACATTGATTTCCTGAAGTGTACATTCTGTATGAAGCGATATATGTATCATAAGAGATATGTAAAACTTATTCAATACTAAATTCAAGGTAACGTACATCCGGACATTTACGATTTGAAAATTTGAAGTAATGACTAAGTATATATATATAAAAAATGTTTTTCAAATGTTTGGTTTTGTGGCATTGTTACGCTTGAAATTAAAGTTTAGATTATGAGGAATACAAATGTTTTTTTAGAGTAGATATATAGGAAATATAGGGTATTCAAAATAGGACACAAACTTTCACATAAGGAGCCGCCATTTTTAAACTAGTCAAATTATGCTTGCACAAAAATGTTTTTATTAACAAGAGATTGAAAACATGTATGCTATGATGTTTTCATTTTAAAAGTGTGAGATTTTTGGATTATTTTATCTCTCTCTGGTTTTGGTACATCCTTTATTAAAAATAAAATTGAAATACTGTTAAGTTATTCCTCAAGGTTGGTTTGGTAGGAATTTTTTATTTCATCATTGTAGGACCAACGCTTCGTCTGTGATCAATGAACCATCAGGGAGACTTATAAAACTGCAATCATTTAGAATTTCATATTACAGTATTATATTATGCAAACAGCTACACGGGGACTATTTATAATTCCCCATTACCGTTTCAAATAGTTACTTCTAGCAGTCTCAATGAGCAGAATATGTATTACGTAAATAATACTAATTTAAGAATACTTAAGGGAGTTTTTGATATGCATACTAACTATGTCACTCTGTATAGAGACTAACTCGCCTTTTGGCTAGCTGGGGCCCCAGGCCTCCTTGATTGGGTGATGGCTAATTAGCAGTAGGCTACCGCAGGCCTCCTGGCAGATAGTCCCTTCCAACGGAGAAATTCAAAATTTTGGGAGAGCCGGATTAGGAAAATGAGACTTTTGGATTTTTCTCAGGGGCTTGAGCATCAGACCTTAAACCACCGAAGTCTATGGCTCATCTTAAAGTGGTCTAGAATCTGGCCCCCATTTTTTGGGTTCTGGGGAACTGTTGAAGTGTGAAAAATATCAATACTAAGTATACGGCATGAACTACAGAAGTGCTTAAGAAACAGTTACAGGGTTTGGGTATAATTTTGAAATGCAACATTTATAAAATACTTCAGGTATAAGAACCCAGGCCAATAATCATGCCAAATGTGAAATCTCGAACATGTCTAGTCCCTTACACGTACAGTGGCTATACAAAGTAAGGTGGAAATCAATTGGGGGGGGGGGCAGGCGGTTAAATATGATCATTTTCAAAATTATTGCTTTTTTTAACGCATGCCTTAAAGTCGTGCAAGGCTTAGTCTCAAACAAAACAAATTATAGGGGGATATAATTTTGAAATACATACCGTTGAAATTAGGGGGAGGGAGCTGCAATTTTAAAATTCCACATTTCTCAAGTCTTAATCAACTATTGAGCAGTTAAAAACGTATCTAGCCCTTTTATGGATGAGGGACAGTAGACCATTGCAAGTGTAGTGCCCATAAGAACAATTTCGAATTCTTTGAAAATCTGCAATTTCAAATTTGTTGAAAGGTTTAAAGTTTTATAATGGCACTTTAGGTAGTTTTTCTTAAAAGGTGGGAGCATTAAAAGTACAAATATATGTCCAAAAAGTAATAAAAAAAAATGAAAAAAACATTGAAAGTCCAAGAACGTTTAGACAATTTTAAAGTACTGTAGAGCGTTTTATGAGGGTTAAGGGGTGCGATCTTAGGAAAAAACCCAAGAGTGTTTTTTGACAATTTATAGGAGGATATAATTTTGAAATGCATACCTTTGAAATGGGGGTTGCAATTTCTAAAATTCCACCTCCCTCAAGTATTTATCAAATTTTGAGAAATAAAAAATAATATCCAACCCTTCTGTGAATGAGTGACAGTAGACCATTTCAAGTGTAGCGCCCTTTGCGAAAATCTGCAATTTTAAATTTGTTGAGCGGTTAAAAGCTTAAAAATGTGATTTTAGGTAGTTTTTCTTGCAAGTTGAAAGCAATAAAAGTATAAATATACAGTATGTCTGAAAAGTGATTAAAAAAATTATAACTCATCGAAAATCCAAGAAAATTTAAACAATTTATAAGTACTGTAGGGAGTTTTATGAGGGTTAAGCATTGCGATCTTTAAAAAATCCCGAGAGTGTTTTTTTTTTTAGAAAATTTAATTCCTGACCTTTAAAATGGTTTCAAAACTTTGCTAGCTCTTACCGTTTTTAAGTTAAAGCCACTAAAAAAAATGGTAGTTTAGAATTTGTTTGGGGTAATTCGGGACCAAGAAGACGGCCCTTCACAATAAATTTTAAATCTCTAGCACGACTTTAAACGGGAGAATTTCAGAAAATGCTTAAGAGGGTTTTGTAGAAAAATAATTCCTGACTATGAAAATTCTTTATAAATTTTTGAGTTATAGCTGTTTAAAAAAGTGCGTTTTGTCGTTTCAGATGTCCGTGATTTTGGATCGGAGGGGGGGGGGGGTTGAAATGAAAAATTGAGACTGACGGAAATGTTCTCTATAATTTATGGTGATGCACTATCGTCAAATTTCAAGTCTTTAGCACGTTTTTAAACGGTTGAGATGAGCATATTAAAGTCGGCTACTTTCAATTACGAACTGCCTTACCGACCACAGGGTGGGTAGGGTCAATTAAAAATAAGATTTTTATGTATTTTATGGTGTATTGGGATGCAAACACTCAAAAAAGTCAAATTTAAGTACAAATATATGTCCGATAAGTAATTAAAAAAATTAAAATGACGTCAAAAATTCGAAACGTTTTAAAGTTGTAGAAGTAGAGCGTCTTTTTGGAGTGAATGTGTGGAAAATGCCCATGAGGGTTTTGTAGAATATTTAATTTCTGACTGTGTAAATCTGTTCAAAACTTTGATAGCTCTTACCATTTTTAAGTTATCAACTATTTTTTAAACATGTTTTGTAGTTTTCAGATTTCCGCCATTTTCGATTTTTGGGGTGGTTAAAATTTGAAAATTTGTTGTAGTTCTACAAACTTTTGTGATAATTCAAGGCCTACATCCTTGCCACGTATCTAAATGGTTAAGAAACGAACACCAAAGTCAACCACTCTCAAGCGTATTCCCCATAAGAATAATATGAGAAACTGTTAAAATGTTTCAAATTTGATATTAAACTTAAATTTTAGGGGCCAAGGAGTGAGGTTTTGAAAACTCATGTAATGACTAAAATTTGAGGTAAATTAAGGAGAGTACAGACCATTAACAATATTTAAAAAACATTACTTTGGTAGGAAAAGGTACCAAAAACCATTAAACATTTGCAAAATAGTAAAAATTTCTAAAGTATGGCATTTTTTAAGGGTGAAGGGGTTTGATTTTCAGAAAACTCTTAAGAGGGGTTTTTAGAGATTTTTATTCCAAACCGTGAAAATTTTGGCTTGTAAAGGATTCATTGAAAAGAACGCATTCTAATTGTATCGTATTATATTCCATTGAAGTAGAGCCTTATTTAACGCCACTTTCCTCATAGTAATATAATTCAGTAGCCTATGGTATTATATTTTCTTGGGATTTCAGCGTGTTCTCCCAATCGTACAGTAAAACAATCGTTCTCCCCGCGTATCTCTTATTCATAACGTGTTGAATTCCATCAAACTACCTTGATAACCAGTTGTTGCAAGAGGGAACAAAATAACAAACAATTATCTACTACAGTTCCATATTTCTGTGGTGTAACTAATGGTTAACATGTTACATTTTTCTCTTATTAAACAACTGTAAATATTTTATTTTTTTAGAATATGAAGAGGAGGCCTATTCTATTTTTATATTACTTTCTCCCCCTATTGGTATACTGATTGTTAGTATACGGAGAAAGTATTGTTTTCGTCCAAATGTTCGAGATTGAGTTTTGAGTGCATTTATCAGTTTTGGGCCACCGGCCACCCTGAACCCGAAAAAGTGGTTTTCGAAGTGATGTCTGGGTGTATTTGTGTGTATGTGTGTGAGTGTGTCTGTATGTATGGATATGTACAGAGCTACAGACCACTATGGTCCAATTTTGATTACATTTTGTATATATTTACTAATCCATGGTATCTTCAGGTGTTATTTCATTTTTTTGTAATTTAAAATTGTGATGGTGATTTTTCCATAAAACCTGTAAAATAATAGTAAAATAAAATTGTCTTGAAAATGACCGTAACGATTTTGATAAAAGTTTATTATGTTATAGCCCTTTAAATTGGGAACAAAATGGTACAAATCCCATTTTCGTAAAATTGTGGTTCAAAATTTATTGTAACGTATGTTATTATAATATAAAAAACATAAAATAAAAAGATAAGATTTTAGAAAAAAGCCAGTTTATATGAAAGTTAGTCGTTATAATGCTTTAAATTCTAAACAAAATGGTACAAATCCCATTCTCGTAAACATTTTAGTTCACAAATTATTATAACCTAAGTTATTTTCCCATAAAAAAAAAATATTCACTCCCACCACTTATCCCATGTTAAAGGGTTTTGGCAAGCTAATGGGAGAAAGTATGTGTCAGATTGCTGATACCGTTTATTTTTTAATTAGCAGAGTAA